TAAAAGCTCCGTGCGGAAACCAAGGTTATTCAATTCACAAGGTACACCCCGTAAATATGCCAAAGCCAAACTGGACTTAAGTTATTATGAAAACACTGTGATTCCGAATAAGGTTATATTATTCTTTCTGAAAAATTCAGTTGGCTTGCTTTACCTTATAAAACAACTGGAGAGTTCTCCTGTTGTTGCTTTTTTTATTCCGAAGACATTGCCAGGTAGTTAGGATCGACTCGCAATCTGCGGGTCGCAGGTTCGAATCCCCGTCACACCAAACATGCTCGCCCTTTCAGCTGGGGGGGGGGGTTATAATGTGACGGTCAATCCCACTATTCGTATAAAGAGTAGCCCAAGAGTTGGTGGTGGGTGGTGATGACTAGCTGCCTTCCCTCTAGTCTTATACTGCTAAATTAGGGACGGCTAGCGCAGATAACCCTCGTGTAGCTTTGCGCGAAATTCAAAAACTAACAAATATTCCGAAGACATAATTCTAGTAGAAACATACAAACAATTGCAATATTTGAATCGTCATGAAATAGAGAGTGTGACAAAGTACATTCTTTATGAATAATATACATGAATTACGTAATAGTTTTCAAACGAGACCCAAAACTCGAGTGCTTTTGAATAGTTCCTTATTCTTCTTCAGGGTAATAAAAGGAATTACGTTAATATCTTAAGGTCAGATTATCAGAAACTACATATATTTCTCTTACGTTAACAATGCCTTAATGATCAAGGAAGTTCATCATGTTACTATCAATTTTAATATTTACCTAGTACAGTTTGGAGTGAAAACGTTTAAAGAAATTTGCACTTGTACGTTACTCAAGATTTTCCATAGAAGTTCAGTAGTTTGATCTTCCCCGTCCAAAAATCACAATCTTTGTTTTATTGAAACTCTTCATTGTAAGCATTGCTATGAATCACAAATGCTATTGAACCTATTTCGAGTGAGATAGCACAATGGTTCAATTAAAAGTAATTACAACAATAAAAAAAAAACGAATAAGAAACGTGAGCGCTTTCCAAAAAAAAAATCATATTTTTTCACCAACACTTCACAATAAAAAGAAAACCTCTCCTAACAGACATCATTTCAGTCTTCGACTCTTTTCGTGTATGTGTACCTGCGTTTGTGCGCTTGACATATGATGTGCTCTGGTTAAAAGACTGTAGGGAATGCATTCAATCGTCCCTTGGATGCTCAGCGACAAAATTCGAGGTTTGATCCCTGAGATGGGCACAGCTCAGATGACCCATTGTGCAATGGTTTTGGAACTTATTTTTGCCAAAGAGAACGACATGAAATCGTCAAATATTATTTACATTTAAAGGGTATTGTTATGTACAAATCGTATGTAGATGTCTACATTATGTGTAGATATCCGCACTTCTGGTTTATGAAGGTTTACATTATATATCTCGACGGCTGATCACCTACCGTATTATTTAACATTTACGTGAATAATTTCTTAGGCTATTACTTGTCATTAGATGTAACGTTTTTCTGCTAACCTGTTTTTTTGTTAACCCATTAGTGATTCCAAACTAGAGGCTTCCTTAAAATTGAGTTCTTTAAGTTGGCCCTATGGTAGAGCTCTGGACTGTGGAGCTGGCGAGCCGATATCGAATCCATGCGATATCACAAAATTCCTTGCATTTTAAGCTGTGGGTACATTATAGGAGTGACAGTCAAGATATTAACGTGGATGGTGGGTGGTAGGGTGCTGCTGACTGGCTGCTTTCCCTCTGGTAGTAGTTCAAAATGAGGAAGATAGCCTTAGTAATTTTGCCATAAAAACAAATATTTTAGCCATTTTATAGTGACTGTATTATGTGCCATATTCGGTTTTTAATGAAATATAATAGCAAAGTGCAAAAATTTGATATTGGCCACGAAAATACTGTTGAAACATAAATAATTTACGAAAATAATGCTGTGAAATGACATGTTTAATTATCCAAATAAAGACTAGTGATATGTCACGGTGAATTTCAAAAAATGGCAAAACTTTTTAAAAGATAATTAAACGTTAACATAAGCTTGAAGAATTGATACATATATACATACATACATATAATGGATAGATAGATGCAAAAATATTTATAACAGTGAGCTTTCAACATAGAATCTACATATTCAGTCTTCAGGCAGACTCATAAACTTTTAAAATAAACGCTAAATACAGAATGTTTTTTATATTCTGAGTATCTCTATAGAGTAGCTTGAAAATGCGTATCTAAAAAAAAACATGTATATCTTCAAAACATCTTAATGGGGTCACCAACTATTAATGAATATAAACATGTGTGTTATAGTCTTTCCTGGAGATCAAAAGAGAAAACAGTGACTAAATACACGCCGTTTAATGTCCCTATACGCCCCCCAGTGGCACTGCGGTATGTCTGCGGACTTACAACGGTGGGCAGAGCACAGATAACCCATTGTGTAGTTTTGTGCTTAATTACAAACAAACAAACAAACAAACGTCCCTATACAAATCAAATAGTTCTAATATATAACAAGATATATTTATTGTAAACTATAATATAATCTTTAAAACGTATAGTAGGAAGATACGACACAAATATATATGTATAACTGAAAAAAAAAGGATTTATAGAAACGTAGGTTATAAAATACAACATTGGATTTTTGCAAGGTGGGTTATAAAATAAAACACTGGCTTTCTAAAAAGTGGGTTATAAAATAAAACATTGGATTTGTACAAAATAAAACATTGGATTTTTGCAAGGTGGGTTATAAAATAAAACATTGGATTTCTAAAAAGTGGGTTATAAAATAAAACATTGGATTTGTACAAAATACAACATTGGATTTTTGCAAGGTGGGTTATAAAATAAAACATTGGATTTCTAAAAAGTGGGTTATAAAATAAAACATTGGATTTCTACAAAATACAACATTAGATTTTTGCAAATTGGATTATAAAATACAACACTTGATTTCTAAAAAGTAGGTTATAAAACATTGGGTTTTTGCAAAGGTGAATTAGCCCGGCATGGTCAGGTGGTTAGGGCGCTCGACT